TGATTTTCTTAGAGATAACGTAGGAAGCAAGATGAGAATAGAAAATCACATTGTTATAGGAATAAATTTTTAATATTATTTTTTAAATATAATTTTTATATATCATTAAATAAATAAGTTGATGTATTTAATATAATAAATTTTATATAAATAAAAAAATTAATTATTTTAATGACACGTCAAGTTATATTAAAAAATAATATAAAAAAATTGTTTTAAAATCTTATCCCAATAGAAAATGTCGTTAACAAAAGGAAAGTGCTCAACAAAGAATAAGTTATGGTACACTTGAAATTTAGAGTTTTATGTATTTTAGTCAACTTTAATAGTTAAAATGCTAAAAAAAATGTAACTTTTAATTTTTTTATTTAAAAATTGTTGGGGTGTGCTAGTGATATAGGTTGATGAGTCAGTAGTAAAGATGATGTGGAGATTGACTAGGATGCAACTCGTGAAAAATGAGGAGGGTCCTTTTGATAGCACTTATTTCACGTACAAGAAGCTCCGTGCCACGAGTCATCTTGTTCTGTCCAGTGATGTTGGCCAATAGCAAACTTTCTAACAAAGTTTGAAAGTACAAATTTTCTAACCAAGCTGAGAAAGCGAGGTGATGATGATGCTCCTTCTTGTAAGGACGAACTCTAAGCTCTATCTGACAAAGTCAAGAAGTAGAGTTTCTCCAACGAAGGCTGGGAGTAGTGCTTCTCTAGTGAAGTTTGGAAAGGAAGCTTCTTGGCGAAGTTCGGGAATAGAGCGTCCCCAGCCAAATCGATGCCTCTAACAGAGTTTGAGAATGAACCTTCTTCAACGAAATTAGAAGGGCTAGATATTGGAACTGAGAATGATTACACAACTACCAAAAAATATATATATAAAAGGACATATACATTGTGGCAAGAGTGTCAAGGATGAAAAATACATGATGATTAAAGATTACAACTTGACGAGCATATTTATACAGAGAGTATTGTAACATAATAATAACGACAATGAATGTGCCCTCTATTATCTCTAATAAATACTCCCACTCTATAATAAGCAACTTTCATGGTGCAAATGTGAAGTACAACAATTCCTCCTTTGAAGCTTTCTCAAGAACAAAAAGAATACACTTGAAAGTAGTGATAGGAGAAGATGAAGGATAATAAAAATGGGAAATTGTTCAGCACTATTGGAAGTGTAGAAAATGTAATAAAAATGGTGGTTTCTAGGTATTTTTGGTGCATTTGGGGAGAGGTCGAAGATGAAGGATTTTTTAGAGAAAACATGGAAGTTTGGTATGTGAGGAAAAAAGTTAAATATGTGAAAAATTGTTCTCCTTTGCTAAAAAATGAAGGAATAATATATATATATATATATGTACAATGGCACCTTTGTAATTTTTGGTTGATGGGTTAGAGGTGTATAATGGCCTAATGGGTAGATTTGGGTGAGCTATCGAGTTTTGAGTGGCTTTTGGCATTGTTGACAGCTTTTTGGTAGTAATATTATGAATTACCCAGTGGTTCCAACGAAACACCACTAGTTCTAACAAAACACCACCAGTTCTAGCGAAATATTGCTAATCTACTAAAGACTGTCCATTTTTTGTAACTGTCTAGCCGTATGAAATACCACTTTTTAAGGGGTATTTGAGTGCAGTAGGTAAAATCAGATCTGGCCAAAATTTTGGTAGATTCACAAGGGTTGCCCATGATTTTGGTAAAGTTCCCAGAAAAAATGTGAGCTTTTTCAACAGTTTCCCATGCACTATAACTTGTGCAGCCAACCTTTGCATTGAATACAGCTGTAAGTTGCTGATGGTGACCAAGACAACATCTCTGGTTGGTTTTGAATGAGATTTTAAGCTTTTAGTTAACATCAAACAATATGATTTTAGGGATCAAGTCTGCCTCCATGTTTTCGCCACCCAGCCCTTTTTGGCAAAGTCGGGCAACATCACCAACGTTAAGCTTCACTAGCACGAATACCTCGTTCGCCAGACATGCAACGTTCACCCATCCATACTTGCCAAGCCACTACTCCCATAGTTTATCCCGAATATCCCCATGACCTTGGAATCATGGGTTTATTGATGACCTACATAAAAGAATAGTGATCAGTTGATGAAAATGATGAAATTTAACAAATAAAGAAATAATAAAAAATTGAGACTTTCTTATATATTTCGAGTGATGCAGTCATGTACTGCAGCATTCGATATCGATGGGCCTTTTGGTAAATGCATGTTGAAGACATTAATGAGCGCTTAGGTCAAGATGGGTCTTAGTGACGTGAAAACTATCCGAGTTCAAGTTTGATCTTTTACAAAAACATTCATCAACAAAAATATTAATTTTTAATATTTAATCAAAAAATTCATTATCAGGTTAATATTACTATCTAATTAACTTTTAAATAAAAAGTTAAAAGTTAATATTTTTAAATAAAAAATAAAAAATTAATATCTTTAAATAAAAAATAAAAAATTGATATTCCTAAATAACAAAATGAAAAGTTGATATTTTTAAATTAAAAAAAGAAACGTTGATATATTTATTTAAAAACTGATAAAATTAATGTTATTAAATAAAAAAAGTACGAAATAAGAGTCATCATTTGCATATTTTCCCTCAGATTATACATTAAAGTGTAGTGTTAACATTAAAATTACTAAATTATTATTATTGAATAAGCATAAAAAATTTTTATTAAGGGTATTAAAGTAATTTTAGTATCAAAATTACACTTTATTTATGTAGTTAGACCTAAAAAATATTTTTAAAAAATGAAAATGATCATAAGAGCACCACTACTTTTCAAGATGCTCCAAAGATGCTTTGTTGCCCTTGTGGGAAACTTGAATTGATAGCTAAGAACAATATAAAGAGGATTGCATATTTGTTTTCAATAGTCCAACCAAATATGCCGCCAATGTTTCTTTCTTCATTTGATTAACTTATCTCATTCCACTAGATGGTGTCAAGAGCCAATGGCCTATGAGTCTATTAGCACCATACCCAACTTAAGGATATTTGGTTGGCACTCAATTTCAAGTTGGGTTGCTCTTCCTCAAAACCATTAACTTTAAAAGCTTCTCCTCCAGTATAATGAAATTACTAGGAACCCGAGAATATTCCTCAATCCAAGGGATTGGACTAGATTCTATTCGTAAAATATTTGCTTGCTCTAAAAGAAAATTTTTTTTAATGATATAATATAAATAATTTGTGTGAAGTTGATGCGCGCACAATTATTAAATATATATATCGATTCATTTGTTGAGACGAGGTCAGAGCATGTGAAATTTGTATTTAACTAAT